CTGCCAGCCCCACGAAGGACACCACCAGTGCAGGAAGTAACCAAAAGCTGGGGCAGAGGCCCAGTGTGGGTGGGAGGCTGCAGAGTTTCACAGCCCTGCAGCTCTGAGCAGCGGCTCCCACCCCGACCCCCCTCAGTGAAGAGGATGGTGGCTGAGAATTGAAGGCATCTTGGGCATCAAATGTGGTGAGCCTGGGTGTGGCGGGAGACCCTTGGGGCCCTCCCTGGCCAGGACGGCTCCTGTAGCATCATCCCGGGTCCTAGGCTTAGGTCTTGCCCAGAGCAGCTCTCGGTGCTTTGGCATGTCCAGGAACCCGTCTGTCTGTCAGTGACTCACTGGGGCAGGGTGCTCTTGCCTCTGGGTTGGCAAACCAAGGCCTTGATGTGCCGTTCTGCTGGCTGGAGCCCCAGCTTAGCAACACGGCCATAGCATAGCATAGCCCAAGGTCACTGATGGAGCCAGGAAACCACTCGAGTGTCTAGGGCAGTGGCCTGGGCCCCATCTGTGAAGTCACATGGCCTCCCTCAATGAGGGGCGCAAAGCACTCTGGGTAGCAAAGGTCCCAGGAGCAGGGTTCTCTCTTGGTAACTTTGAGCAAACGCCAATCTGAGGAGTCCCAGTACTTGAGCAATGTGGAATGTCTCCGTTGGAGACAGGTGACAATGAGCTAATGCTGCTGGTAAATAGGTGCCCCTTCCACCCCAGAGGTGGCTGCACTTCACTGCTAAAGCAGTCGGGATCCACCGGAGATGGAAAGGGCTGTGTAAATGCAAGACAGACAGCACAGCCCATGAACAGGACACAGGGCTGGTTCTTAGGAACAGAGCACAGGTCTCCTGGCTCTGCCACTGACCCACTGGGTGACCTTGAGTGTGTCCCTTCTCCTCCCACTTGTCCAGCTTGGCCATAAGGCTACATATGTCCAGCACCTAGGGACAAGTCCCTCCTGGAACGGAGCCAGGTGCATCCCACCCACTGTCCTGCATTCCTGCCCCTTGGATGCCCCCGCACCTCCTGCCGAGCAATGGTTTCAGGGCCGCTGTCGAAAGGGAAGCAGTGTTGTGGCCTCAACCTGGGAAAGAATTTACATGTGCAACTGGCCTTTCCCGCGGCCATCGGGGCTGAGACTCTGTGCCGGGAGGGGAAGGGATTGAGTGTCCTCACCCCGGTCACTAGGATGGGTTAGACGGTTGAGGGGCTCCAGCCGTGGCACTCATGGTCTCCTCTCCCTCCCAGGCTCTTGTAACGACTCGGAGAGCAACGATGAGTCTATTCCGGAGCTGGAGGAGCCGGACATCTCCGAACCCCGGACAGCTCAGACTCAGGTACGGGGCTGCCCGGGGAGAGGCCCACACAGCCTGAGGGTCCCGGCGCAGGGGCTGGGCACAGTAAATGACTGAACTAGCCTGACTAATCTGCTCCCTTGGGGGGGGCCTCTGCTCCCCAGCCCGCTGCTGGGAAAGGGGAGGCCTGGGGTACAGGACAGCAGTGACTCGGCAGCCAACAGGCCCAGCTCTGGGGAAAAACCGGCCTCAGGCGATGGGATTGTGAAGCCCAAGTACATGGCATCCAAGAAAGAGCACCCCCCCCCCAAATCCATGGCAAGGGGTTGTGACCAGATCTCCGCATCAGGCCCACCCCAGCTATATAACTAGATGGGAGGCGGAGTGTCGTATTGCTCCCTCTGCCTGGATAAATCTGGGGCAGGGTGCCAGGGCTTACCAATGGGTGACTCCACCACCCATTGGTATCGAGCACCCTTCTGAAGCGAGGAGACCTTGGAAGGTGGCCTCTGTAGCCCTGGAACTCCTCTTCCTACAGCTCCCAGAGTCACCAGGTGTCCCTGGACTGGGAGCTGTCCCTAGCTGTGCCCTGTGATCCCTGCCGTGATCTGGCTGCAGGATGGCCCTTGGAGATGGTATCCTTGTCCCTGGCCTGGAGACACTTTGGGGCAGTGTCTGACAGTGCTCCAGTGTCATCCCCAGATTTATCTTCTCT